CTATAGACTAAAGCAAAGAAAAATAGCAAGACTAATTGAAAAATATCATTTATACTTTTCACATCTTCTATATGTATAATAACAATGTTACAAAAAGTTTGAGCAATTTTGGAATCTGTTTTCTATTTATTTCCATTTTTGTTAGAATAAATTCACAAAAATCATAAAATCGGGTTACACTATTTATAAACTCATTTGTACATTTTTCCCAGCATAAGTATGCTTAATGGCAGTATTATAAAACATTTGGGATTTTTATCATCTGGATGCTATTTTTCATGAATTTATATTTTTATGAAGGCTTAAAAATTTGGAAAACTAGGTAATCACATCAAAAATTCAGGGGAAAATTTATGGAAGATCTCTACTGTATTTGGAACGAAAATGTAAACTTTCATGAATTTTGGAGATTGTTTGATAATATTTTTGGATTTTTAGGAGTTTAAAACACCATTTTAGAGAAATTGTTACCCATTTAATATAAAATCAATATTAGAACAAAATTTTGGCATTTCTCTATATGTAGAATTTAGTGTAATAGCATTAGATTTCGACATAGAAACTCACTAGCGTGTGTTTGATGTCGTAGGATCTCGGTAGTAAAGGCATTGGTGCATTCTAAGGCACCACTTGTAGCTACTTCAAACATTGTGAGTATTCACACCTTCCCCCTATTTTCGGTTTTTATTTTTTGGGGTGGAAAAGCATGTCCAAACTATTTATGATTGATGTATTTATATTGAATTCTATCAAAATTGATTGCTATATTTTGTAATATTTTGTTGTGTATGTGTAAGTTATTATTAAAACATGAGACCTTATCGTCTTAAGTCCCGTCCCTTACACGTTTGCCAACCATTAACTCTTTGAGCCAATAATCATTATGGATAGCGCTATTAGTAATTGACAACTCCTCACTTGCCCGATTGCATGAGTGCATGATCCCATATTCATCTATGGAACGATAATCATAGATCTTGATAGGGCATCAGTTATAGGCTTGGTTGTGAACTCATTGTTTATTCATATACATATAAACTTTCTTATTAATTATAGCAATGAACATTGTTTCTCATTATAGCAATGTACTTGTATTTACGGAAAGTTTTATACCAAATCTTGATTTTGTAAGCTTGTGAACTCACCAACTATTTTCATAGTTGACCATCGTTTTACATGCTTTTTCAGGAAATAATTAGTAAGTGAGTATAAATATTCATCATCATATAGCATGTTGTATCATGTGGAAGTTATTTTATGAAGTTATCTTTTGAACAATGTCATTTTGGAAAACTTGTATTTTGTTTTGTTTGAATTATGGATTGTAAACTTTTAACTACTACTATGATGATTTATCTTTTTCTTTTGCAATAAAACATTTATCATTGTCATATCTTGCGTTTCTGGTTTAGCGGGATGTGACAAGCTCTGAAATGCAAACACAAAATCATCAGAGACTAGCTCAAACGCTCACACACACGATTACCAACCCCTACATGCTCCTTAGCATTCTAAGGTTCTTACTTGGGCCGCTTACAGATTCGGTGTTTCAGTAGTACGGGACCAATACTACCTTCCACTCCAACCTGTAGTCACCCCAAGTCCTCCTCCTAGGATCCTAATTCACAAGTACTCGTCTCTCACAGATACCAAACTACCCTCTCAGTAGACTCATCAATTGCTCATCCAGGTATCTCTCCTAGATTACTCCTCGACTCAAAACTCTTTCTAAAAGATTCCTGCTAGGAACTGCTACTTAGCACATACATAGAGCAAATAGCAGATAATATCAATCAATAGCATCCCCCTATGCTAAGGCATTATGAATCAAGCAACTCTAGCCCTAATTTCTGAAATACCTAGCCTATCTTCTAGCATTCAACTCGAATATCTCATAAATATCTCATAATGTAAACAAGTAATGGTATTTTGGGAAATCACCGCTCGGGCTCTGGCTGATTGTACACACTGCTCCGTCTCGTTTTCCCTTTAAACTCTTACTCGTTTTAGAAAAAACATTTATTTTTAGAAAAAAATTCTCAAATCCTCAGCTTGAGTCCAGACATACCCGAGAGTATATCCGAATCCCTTAAACCAAGGCTTTGATACCAACTTGTAACACTATAAATTTTCGAATAAAATTTTCATTTTTAAAATCACATAAACTCCATATCATATTTCCAAAAACCACAAGATGTATAAGTTGTCAAAAACCCAATTCAACAAATGTTTAATAAAATCCCAGAATCCTCAAAATCATGATCTCTAACTGGTGTGTACAATCAAGTCGGCGCCTTCCCGCAATCCTGAGAAGTACCTGAAACACATATCACACAACACGGTAAGCACGAAGCTTAGTGAGTTCCCCAAAATACCACATGCAAATAATTAGCCTCTCATGGCTATATCTCTATAAGGACCCTCTGGTCCATGTGTCTCTGTGAGGACCCTCCGGTCTCACAACTCGGGTTGGACCCTCCGGTCCTAACCAATAAAGCATAGAATAATATAAAACATAAATCACAAAGAAAAATGCATGATATCACATAACTCAGCATAAGCATATAAGACCCTCCGGTCACACGGTATTACCACTCAGGTAAGTATAGTGAGAAGACTAACCTTGTAAGTAAAGCAAGTATGTCTCGTACTCGAACCACCGGTCTAGTCTTCGCCTAACATATATCGTAATTAAATCTAATTAAAAAAATGACCCCAAATATGTTTGGCTAAACCCTTTACTAATTCTCATAAGGATAAAAGACTATTTTACCCTTCCATGGCCTCCAACGTCCATAGTTTGACCAAACCCTAAAAGTCAAAAAAAAGTCAACAGCAAGCTCGTACGTTGGGCATACTACTTCACCATGCATGCATCAGGAAACTTCGACGCTACGTTGAGCGTATCTGGGAATACGCTCAGCCTACGTCTCAGACTTACTTTTCCCACTCTCCTGGTCTTAATCCCTTAAGACCATGGCTATAATCTCAGATCTGGACTCACTAAAGGCTAATACTCCACAAAGTTTGTGACTTTAAGTGTTAGCATTGCTGAGTAAGTCTAGAACTCATAAACTCTCACTCCTTACTCACAAAAGTTCTCATATATCATGCATAGGGAAATCTTGACGTCCAAGATCCCATTTTTATGAGTCCACTCAACTAGAGACACTTAAAGGGACAGATATTATGCTCTGGAGTTCAACAAACTCATAAAGCTTCAAGCTTTGGGACATAAACCCTAAAATGAACCACAATATGCATAAATCAAAACAATGAGAAAGCTTTGAGCTTGATACCTCCAAATGATGCACCAACCATAGGGAAACTCAGATCCAAAGCTTGGACACCAACTCTACTCTCTTTAAAGCTCCTTTTTCACCCAAAGAATCCCACAAAGATCACTCAAAAGCTTCAAATGGCCACTCAAGCTATGAAACGGAAATTAGGGTTTTCAGGAGAGTTGAAGATTGGAATGGTAGCTGGAAATGAGGCCATCATGTTCCTTAAATTGGGACACACCACATAATTAGGGTTTTCACTCTGAGCCTAGTACACCCAGCATACCCTCTGGTACGTGCAGCGTACTAGGTGGCCTCCGCGTCCATAATATGTACATGAGTACACTGAGCGTACTGTAACGCCTGTGTTTCTGGGCTTGCCATTTTTAGCAATGTGATAGTCTAGGTTAACCTTTGTAACCCGTTTTGAAATAATAAGATTGTATTATTTGAGTATTATGTGTTTTGTGCTTAATTGCTTAATTATGTGGTTTGATTAATTAAGAATTAAAATAAGCGTCAAAATTTAAGTGTAAATTAAACTTGATATCTTTAGATAATGTTGTAGTAGTCCTAAACAAGGTTTCCGAAGATATAAAGAATACCGAAATCCGAGTTATAACGAGGAAGTTATGACCTGTCGAAGTTTCGCGACAGAACCGGCAACGCTGAATAACGTAAAAAGTGAAATTTACGTTAAAGCGATATTTTTAGTGATCTAAACGAGAATCGAAGATCTCGTTGTTAGTATCAAAGCGATAAAAAGTTAGGCAAGAACGGACGTCAAACGAAGAAGTTATGAATTTATAATGAAATTTTCTGTCCCGGCCTATTAAAAATAAATAATAAAAATAAAGTCAAAATTAGCCGATGGAGTCTAAACAAAAGTTGTAGAGCGTAGTCTCACCTTTCCGTGGATATAAAGAACGTCGAAAACGGAGTTCGTATGAAGAAGATATAAATTTCCGAAGTTTGATAAATAATTTGTATTTATTTTTAAATCAAAATTCGGAAGCCTTATCCGAAGGCGAGTCATCGATCCGATCCGACTTACGCGCCGCGTAAGTGAGTACGCCCCGCGTACTCCGAAAGTGTCGACATCGCAGCAAGTGGCTTCGGATGACGTAAGCGATGACGTTTCTCGCACCAATACGCCCCGTGTACGAGAGGCTTCCAGCCTCCTATAAATAGGATGCGAGGGGTCCGGGTTTATTTGCTAATTTCCTCTCGTTTTTGTGCCGAAGCTCTGCGGTTTTACCCCCGAAGCCATCCCGAAGCCCCGGTAATATTCCCGAGTCCCGAAGCGAGTCCCAAGATCCCGAAGATCCCGAGAAGTGCGGTTTCCGAGCCGAAGCTCTGCCCGCGAGAAGTTCGATTTTCGTAGAGATCTTCCAGATCTGCGGAGGATTATTACTTTTGCGAGTCGTAGTGCTGTCCGATCATCTTCTGATCAAGTGAGTGTATACTACCTTTCATAACGCAATAATAATACAAGTATGGTTTGGGTATTAAGTTTATGTCGTTTATAGTGTGATGCATTGTTACTTTCTTCTAACGTATAATTATTGAAGTATTTATACGAGATACGTGTTATGTGTATATTTTGTTGTTATGTGTGTGAATGTATATTCACTTTCTTCTGTCTTACAGATCTGATTATTTCTATATGAAATACTGTTATGTGTGTGTGCCTCATCTGTTATATGGAAAATATATTGATCAAGCATGCTATACAGGTTTTGAAATATGTATAAAAATGTATGTTTTTATCTACTGATATGTTGGGTAGAACATGGGTAG